AGCGACGTCGGCAACCCATTGCGACGCAGTTGCTCCGTCATCCAAGTCAGGGGACGAGGAGGAGGAGGCTGCTACACCTGCCTTCTCCTTTATCCTCTTCTTAGTTGGCGAAACATCCTCTGCCTCACAATCCGCTGGCGACGCCGTGTTCAGCCTTCTGTCACCAGACTTGCGCGTTTTGGATCGCTCGCGAGTGGCTTTACCACCTCCTCGGTTACTGTCCCGCGCATGGAGATGGTCATAGGCCATCTCCACGTCATTACAACTGTTGTTGTTGTTGCTGCACCGGCTATTTGACCGGGTTCGCACCATGTTGGTGCTCTCAGTTTTTTGTTTTTTACAAGTGCACTTACACGTACACGCACACTATTGCAGTCTCTTATCTGTTCTGTTCTATTTATAGAACGCTATTTGGCGTAAACAAGTAAACAACTTGTTTACGATTTGCGGGCACTTTTACCGTAATTTTGCTTATCAGCAAATTGATAACTTCAACTATGCGCGCACTCGATTTACACGTCCGCTCGCGACGACCGTCTAAAGCAAACTCAGTAGATAGGGACATTCGTCACGGATCTCTCCGGGATTTGTTTTATGTGGCGTGTACCACAACACTCAAGTCAGACAAGTGTGCATACACACTGCATTCACAGTGTGTATGTACACAAGACCGACTACAGTGCACGGGTTATGGTACGATGCGCCAAACCAGTCGCCCCAGCTAACAACCACCAGCAAATACAGTGGGAGCTTCGCCAGTACCAATTCGGGATATATGCTTGTCGGGCATATATCCCCCTCTTGGATGGGAGGCGAAGTGCATCTAAACACCTCTGCTGCTCTCAGGGTCGCAGCGCCCGGTTGGAAAACGCAACTCCACGCCGAATAAAGGCCGAAGCCAATACTCTACCCGCGATGTAGGTGACAACCACAGCCACTACGATACTCCCACAAGGGGGCCTACCCCAATGGGGAGCCCTTGGAGAACTCCCCAACCCGTAGTACCGAAACTTCAACTCATACCGCCCTGAACAGCGGCATGAGTAGGACTCGGTGAGCCCTGGCCCTTTTGCCCGACAGCACGGATGGGTTAACCAGCTTTTTGCCACATCAGTCGCCTCATACGACAAGCCGTGACCGCTGAGATGGTATTCCAAGCCCCGCCATCACACGGGGGAGGTGCCAGTTTTGGCTGATTTTAGCCCGGGACTGGCAGCCCAATATTCACCGGCTGTTCATCACGTTGCCGACGCCGTGCGAACACAGCGTCAGCGAACGCCTCCAGCCTCTGCATCCTCTCTGGCGTCTCCGTCACACCAGACACCCTCCAGATGCCGGTCCTCCACTCAATCCCGAGTCCTGCGAGGTCACGAAGATCCGCGTACAGCGGGCATACACACAAGATGTGCAGCCAATCCTCCTCCTCAGCGCCGCATGAGCATGCAGGCGCGTCAGCGATGCCTCTTCTGTGCAGAAACTCGTTCATCGAGCCATGGCCCGTCATCAGGAATCCAGCACGCAGGCTGAACCTGAAGTTCCTGCGACTGTAGACGAAGCCTGCGTCTGGGAAAAAACGATGGGTCGTGCGCCCGCACTCACCGTCGTCATCCCATCGGAGCTGCCACTCACGTAGCAGGCATTCGTCTAGCAGCGCCTTCCTCTGCCTCCTATCCACATCCGCCAAGTCCTGGCCGTGCAGCCACTCTCCCTCCTCCAGCGGGTAGCCCTTGCGCAGTTTAAACATGATTGCCAATTGCTTGGCAACCAAGTCAAACGGTGCGGCTCCTGCCAGCACCTGTAGCGCAACCGTTGACACAGTGCGACACACTGGCAGTGTTGCCAGTAGCGTCACTCTTTGGCAGGACATGAGGCGCCTCTTGGGCGCAACCTGCCCTGCCTGCCGGTACCATACCGACGCACCAAACAGTGCGCACGGTATCATCAGGCCCGCATAGATGGTTCTCTTCGCCTCCGGACTGAGGCCCCAGTCAACGCGAAGCACTCGCGCCAATCGTCCCGCGACGCCCAGCATCTTCCCGCGTAGGGACACTATGTGCGGCATAAAGCTCATCCGCTCGCCGACCATAATGCCCAGGTACTTTGTGCAGGGCACGTACGGCAGAGCCATCCCCCGGTAACGTACCCAGGGAGGTCTGCTGTGTGCCAAAGTACCTTTCAGCAGCATGATGTGCGTCTTGGTGGTGGATACCGAAACGCCTGCTTCGGCACCCCACTCTCCGACGATGCTCATCAGCCGCTCGCTCTCCTCTTCCAACGCACGTCTCGCGTTCGCCTCCACGAGGATGAGCAGGTCATCAGCATAAGCGCTGAAGGTGCACTCCTGCTCCAGCCTCCTCAGCAACACGTCCATAGCCAAATTCCAAATATACGGACCGCTAATGGACCCCTGTGGGCAACCTCGAGTTACCGACACAGTCTCCTCTCCGCAATTGCTCAGCATGGACGCGCTCCTGCCAGAAAAATAGCTCTGCCACAAGCTAATTTCTCGGCATCCCGCGTCGTCCAATCGGCGCATTACGTAACTCCACTCCAAGTGGTCGAAGGCTCCCTTGAAGTCCACGAATAATCCAAGCACGTATCGGGCCGGGCTGGCCGCGACCGTGCTTGTCACGTGCCTCCACGCGTCCTCCACGCAGCGTCCTGGCTTAAAGCCGAACTGCCATCTGCAGCCTTCCGGCACTGCCTCCTTGAGACGGTCCACCATGATCGCCTCCAGCACTTTACCGAACACCGGCAGCAAGCAGATACCTCGATAGGAAGCAGGATCGCTCCTGTTCCCATCAGGCCCTTTGAGCAAAGCGACCACACGTGGCCGCTTCCACTCTTCCGGGAAGTATCCACTTGCTAAACAGCGGGAATACAACGCTGCCAAGTGCTGGGGGATAGCTCTCCAGACCGCCTTTGCAACCGCTCCAGTGATCCCGTCCAATCCTGGCGATCGCCTGCTCCTCAACCGCGCAATACACGCAGACACCTCCGAAACCTCGAGAGCTGGAGGGGCAACTTCGGCAATGGCTATGGGAGCTCTGGACTCCGCAACTGGGAAAAAGTTGCGGAGGAGCACTCGCGCACAGTCGTTCCACGAAACGACTGTCTCGCCATTGGCCCGAAGCGACCCTATCTCGGCGTTTCCTCTGCGTCTGTTATTGCAGATCCGGTACACGTGCCCCCACGGGTCGTCCCTGTGCTCCTGCACAAAATGCCGCCAATCATCCTCCTTCGCCTTCAGTATTTGCTTCTTGTACTGAGCCAAGGCAATCCTCAGCTCAGTAGCAAGAAGCCGTTCGTCATCGGTGTGATGACGACGCGCATACTGCCTTCGGCGTCGCACTCTCCTCACCCGTCGGCGCATGTCGTCCAACTCGGCCGTCCACCAGTTCACTCTCCGAACTGTGCTCGTCTCACGGCGTCCTATCGCCCTGTCGCACGCATGGTGTACGACAGACCGTAGGGCCGCTACCTGTTCATCCATCGGTGCATCCGCCGAAATCGCCTCCGCTCCTCCGATGACCTCCTCATCGAACAATCGCCAACGCGCTCTCGCGAGATTCCAGGACGGCACAGGAGTAATGGTACTCTCAACTGCGTTCTGGGGTCCAGGTGTCACCACAACAGAGATTCTGTTGTGGTCACTCAGGACCCACTCGTCCACTCTCCATTGGTATGCAGCCCATACCAATGCTGCGTCGTTGGCAATTGTGACGTCAATGTCGCTCCTCCCGTTCGGTCCATCGAAGGTGAATACCTCGCTGTATTCATTAAGCGCTCCAGCACTACTCCCCGTGATCCACTCAGCCAGCAGCTCACCCCGCTGTTGGTTTAAATGTCCCTGATTCGCATCAGAGACTTTGCTAAACCACAGGGGGGATACTGCGTTCGCGTCAAGTCCGAGGATGGCAGGCGTGTTGCTAGCGCGCAACAACACTGCATCCAAGTAGCCTAGATACGGCTCAATATCCGCTCCAAATTGGCAGTATACGGAGGACAGGTAGGCTGTGCCAAAGCCACCCGTCACTCTCACGCATACCCCAAGGTCCGTTGTAAGGTCCTCCATTTGGACGCACACGACATCAGGGTCATCCACAACGATGGCCGCCTTCTTCCTCCTGTCTGTGTAGACTCGCATACTGGATGGCAGTCCAGTAACGCGATCCAAGTGGGGGCTAACATAAGGTTCCTGGATCAGAGCGAAGGTGTATCCAGAATTCCTTATCCTAACCCCACACTCTATTGTTGCGTCGCTGCATCTCCCACAATTCGCTTGGATGAATCTAAACATGATTAATGTCTAGCTTGCACCCTCGCTATTACCGCTGCATATATCGGACATGCGTCCGACAGCGTGCGATGCCCCGAAGGATGCCCTTTCATGCGGCAGTTGCGGCAGTCCGCCGGCTTGTTGCATTTGGCCGCAATGTGGCCGGTCTCCCCACATTGACGACACGCCGTGGATGCGTTGCACTCCGCCACCTTGTGGTTCAATGACATGCACCTGTGGCATGCATACGTGCGAACCAGCTTCCTACATCTGAAGGACTGGCCGGTCACGAAGATTCGGCCAGCCTTCTCCAGGATGGTTGCTGCTGCCTCATCCACGTCGAGCGTCAGATTGATCTTGCCACCGTCCGTGACAGACCATCTCTTGGTCTCCAATCTGACCGCCTCCTTGTATTTTTCAAGGGTCATCCCCTCCTTGAAATTAAGGGCGTACGCCTCCTCCAAAAACTGCTCCGGCGAGACCTTAGTGTCAACGTCATACACGATGACTTTTTGGCGCAGTCCCTTGTTCGGCTGTACTACCAGTCCGGCCTCCTTGAACTTCTCGCTACTCAAAACGCTCTTCATGTCGCCTTCGGACATCATGCGTAGGACCGTTTCCCCACTCTTTGTCTGGTGGATGCCGTGGACACGGAAGTTGAATTTAGGAATCACCTCCTTCTTCATGATTTCAACCACCTGCTCGCACGTGACCACGATACTCACTGCTGAGCAGCGCTCGCAGCAGCGCATGGCGGCAGAACGGCTCCGGCAGTGGGCAGCGCCCTCTCTGCGACTGTGGCATATGACCTCGCGACGGTGGTCACTGCCAGCGGCTTCTTGAACACAGCCTCAGTAGTGGGCTTCGCGACGGCGGCGTCGACAGCCAGTTTCGCGTCGGCGGCGCCAGCTATAGTAGCCGGTTTCGCGGCGGCGGCAGCGGCGTCAGTGGCCGGCTTCCCGAATACTCCCTCGGCATTTGTGCCGGCGGCTATGTCGGCGGCGAGTGACGCGGTACTTTTCGCGACGGCGCTGTCGACGGCGACAGCGTTGGCAGCAGAGTTGGCGGCAGCGACGTCGGCAACCCATTGCGACGCAGTTGCTCCGTCATCCAAGTCAGGGGACGAGGAGGAGGAGGCTGCTACACCTGCGTTCTCCTTTATCCTCAGCAACACGTCCATAGCCAAATTCCAAATATATGGACCGCTAATGGACCCCTGTGGGCAACCTCGAGTTACCGACACAGTCTCCTCTCCGCAATTGCTCAGCATGGACGCGCTCCTGCCAGAAAAATATCTCTGCCACAAGATAATTTCTCGGCTGTACTACCAGTCCGGCCTCCTTGAACTTCTCGCTACTCAAAACGCTCTTCATGTCGCCTTCGGACATCATGCGTAGGACCGTTTCCCCACTCTTTGTCTGGTGGATGCCGTGGACACGGAAGTTGAATTTAGGAATCACCTCCTTCTTCATGATTTCAACCACCTGCTCGCACGTGACCACGATACTCACTGCTGAGCAGCGCTCGCAGCAGCGCATGGCGGCAGAACGGCTCCGGCAGTGGGCAGCGCCCTCTCTGCGACTGTGGCATATGACCTCGCGACGGTGGTCACTGCCAGCGGCTTCTTGAACACAGCCTCAGTAGTGGGCTTCGCGACGGCGGCGTCGACAGCCAGTTTCGCGTCGGCGGCGCCAGCTATAGTAGCCGGTTTCGCGGCGGCGGCAGCGGCGTCAGTGGCCGGCTTCCCGAATACTCCCTCGGCATTTGTGCCGGCGGCTATGTCGGCGGCGAGTGACGCGGTACTTTTCGCGACGGCGCTGTCGACGGCGACAGCGTTGGCAGCAGAGTTGGCGGCAGCGACGTCGGCAACCCATTGCGACGCAGTTGCTCCGTCATCCAAGTCAGGGGACGAGGAGGAGGAGGCTGCTACACCTGCCTTCTCCTTTATCCTCTTCTTAGTTGGCGAAACATCCTCTGCCTCACAATCCGCTGGCGACGCCGTGTTCAGCCTTCTGTCACCAGACTTGCGCGTTTTGGATCGCTCGCGAGTGGCTTTACCACCTCCTCGGTTACTGTCCCGCGCATGGAGATGGTCATAGGCCATCTCCACGTCATTACAACTGTTGTTGTTGTTGCTGCACCGGCTATTTGACCGGGTTCGCACCATGTTGGTGCTCTCAGTTTTTTGTTTTTCACAAGTGCACTTACACGTACACGCACACTATTGCAGTCTCTTATCTGTTCTGTTCTATTTATAGAACGCTATTTGGCGTAAACAAGTAAACAACTTGTTTACGATTTGCGGGCACTTTTACCGTAATTTTGCTTATCAGCAAATTGATAACTTCAACTATGCGCGCACTCGATTTACACGTCCGCTCGCGACGACCGTCTAAAGCAAACTCAGTAGATAGGGACATTCGTCACGGATCTCTCCGGGATTTGTTTTATGTGGCGTGTACCACAACACTCAAGTCAGACAAGTGTGCATACACACTGCATTCACAGTGTGTATGTACACAAGACCGACTACAGTGCACGGGTTATGGTACGATGCGCCAAACCAGTCGCCCCAGCTAACAACCACCAGCAAATACAGTGGGAGCTTCGCCAGTACCAATTCGGGATATATGCTTGTCGGGCATATATCCCCCTCTTGGATGGGAGGCGAAGTGCATCTAAACACCTCTGCTGCTCTCAGGGTCGCAGCGCCCGGTTGGAAAACGCAACTCCACGCCGAATAAAGGCCGAAGCCAATACTCTACCCGCGATGTAGGTGACAACCACAGCCACTACGATACTCCCACAAGGGGGCCTACCCCAATGGGGAGCCCTTGGAGAACTCCCCAACCCGTAGTACCGAAACTTCAACTCATACCGCCCTGAACAGCGGCATGAGTAGGACTCGGTGAGCCCTGGCCCTTTTGCCCGACAGCACGGATGGGTTAACCAGCTTTTTGCCACATCAGTCGCCTCATACGACAAGCCGTGACCGCTGAGATGGTATTCTAAGCCCCGCCATCACACGGGGGAGGTGCCAGTTTTGGCTGATTTTAGCCCGGGACTGGCAGCCCAATATTCACCGGCTGTTCATCACGTTGCCGACGCCGTGCGAACACAGCGTCAGCGAACGCCTCCAACCTCTGCATCCTCTCTGGCGTCTCCGTCACACCAGACACCCTCCAGATGCCGCTCCTCAACTCAATCCCGAGTCCTGCGAGGTCACGAAGATCCGCGTACAGCGGGCATACACACAAGATGTGCAGCCAATCCTCCTCCTCAGCGCCGCATGAGCATGCAGGCGCGTCGGCGATGCCTCTCCTGTGCAGAAACTCGTTCATCGAGCCATGGCCCGTCATCAGGAATCCAGCACGCAGGCTGAACCTGAAGCTCCTGCGACTGTAGACGAAGCCTGCGTCTGGGAAAAAACGATGGGTCGTGCGCCCGCACTCACCGTCGTCATCCCATCGGAGCTGCCACTCACGTAGCAGGCATTCGTCTAGCAGCGCCTTCCTCTGCCTCTTATCCACGTCCGCCAAGTCCTGGCCGTGCAGCCACTCTCCCTCCTCCAGCGGGTAGCCCTTGCGCAGTTTGAACATGATTGCCAATTGCTTGGCAACCAAGTCAAACGGTGCGGCTCCTGCCAGCACCTGTAGCGCGACCGTCGAGACTGTGCGACACACTGGCAGTGTTGCCAGTAGTGTCACTCTCTGGCAGGACATGAGGCGCCTCTTGGGCGCAACCTGCCCTGCCTGTCGGTACCATACCGACGCACCAAACAGTGCGCACGGTATCATCAGGCCCGCATATATGGTTCTCTTCGCCTCCGGACTGAGTCCCCAGTCCACGCGCAGCACTCGCGCCAGTCTTCCCGCGACGCCCAGCATCTTCCCGCGTAGGGACACTATGTGCGGCATAAAGCTCATCCGCTCGCCGACCATAATGCCCAGGTACTTTGTGCAGGGCACGTACGGCAGAGCCATCCCCCGGTAACGTACCCAGGGAGGTCTGCTGTGTGCCAAAGTACCTTTCAGCAGCATGATGTGCGTCTTGGTGGTGGATACCGAAACGCCTGCTTCGGCACCCCACTCTCCGACGATGCTCATCAGCCGCTCGCTCTCCTCTTCCAACGCACGTCTCGCGTTCGCCTCCACGAGGATGAGCAGGTCATCAGCATAAGCGCTGAAGGTGCACTCCTGCTCCAGCCTCCTCAGCAACACGTCCATTGCCAAATTCCAAATATATGGACCGCTAATGGATCCCTGTGGGCAACCTCGAGTTACCGACACCGTCTCCTCTCCATGATTACTCAACATGGACGCGCTCCTGCCAGAAAAATAGCTCTGCCACAAGCTAATTTCTCGGCATCCCGCGTCGTCCAATCGGCGCATTACGTAACTCCACTCCAAGTGGTCGAAGGCTCCCTTGAAGTCCACGAATAATCCAAGCACGTATCGGGCCGGGCTGGCCGCGACCGTGCTTGTCACGTGCCTCCACGCGTCCTCCACGCAGCGTCCTGGCTTAAAGCCGAACTGCCATCTGCAGCCTTCCGGCACTGCCTCCTTGAGACGGTCCACCATGATCGCCTCCAGCACTTTACCGAACACCGGCAGCAAGCAGATACCTCGATAGGAAGCAGGATCGCTCCTGTTCCCATCAGGCCCTTTGAGCAAAGCGACCACACGTGGCCGCTTCCACTCTTCCGGGAAGTATCCACTTGCTAAACAGCGGGAATACAACGCTGCCAAGTGCTGGGGGATAGCTCTCCAGACCGCCTTTGCAACCGCTCCAGTGATCCCGTCCAATCCTGGCGATCGCCTGCTCCTCAACCGCGCAATACACGCAGACACCTCCGAAACCTCGAGAGCTGGAGGGGCAACTTCGGCAATGGCTATGGGAGCTCTGGACTCCGCAACTGGGAAAAAGTTGCGGAGGAGCACTCGCGCACAGTCGTTCCACGAAACGACTGTCTCGCCATTGGCCCGAAGCGACCCTATCTCGGCGTTTCCTCTGCGTCTGTTATTGCAGATCCGGTACACATGCCCCCACGGGTCGTCCCTGTGCTCCTGCACAAAATGCCGCCAATCATCCTCCTTCGCCTTCAGTATTTGCTTCTTGTACTGAGCCAAGGCAATCCTCAGCTCAGTAGCAAGAAGCCGTTCGTCATCGGTGTGGTGACGACGCGCATACTGCCTTCGGCGTCGCACTCTCCTCACCCGTCGGCGCATGTCGTCCAACTCGGCCGTCCACCAGTTCACTCTCCGAACTGTGCTCGTCTCACGGCGTCCTATCGCCCTGTCGCACGCATGGTGTACGACAGACCGTAGGGCCGCTACCTGTTCATCCATCGGTGCATCCGCCGAAATCGCCTCCGCTCCTCCGATGACCTCCTCATCGAACAATCGCCAACGCGCTCTCGCGAGATTCCAGGACGGCACAGGAGTAATGGTACTCTCAACTGCGTTCTGGGGTCCAGGTGTCACCACAACAGAGATTCTGTTGTGGTCACTCAGGACCCACTCGTCCACTCTCCATTGGTATGCAGCCCATACCAATGCTGCGTCGTTTGCGATTGTGACGTCAATGTCACTCCTCCCGTTCGGTCCATCGAAGGTGAATACCTCGCTGTATTCATTAAGCGCTCCAGCACTACTCCCCGTGATCCACTCAGCCAGCAGCTCACCCCGCTGTTGGTTTAAATGTCCCTGATTCGCATCAGAGACCTTGCTAAACCACAGGGGGGATACTGCGTTCGCGTCGAGTCCGAGGATGGCAGGCGTGTTGCTAGCGCGCAACAACACTGCATCCAAGTAGCCTAGATACGGCTCAATATCCGCTCCAAATTGGCAGTATACGGAGGACAGGTAGGCTGTGCCAAAGCCACCCGTCACTCTCACGCATACCCCAAGGTCCGTTGTGAGGTCCTCCATTTGGACGCACACGACATCAGGGTCATCCACAATGATGGCCGCCTTCTTCCTCCTGTCTGTGTAGACTCGCATACTGGATGGCAGTCCAGTAACGCGATCCAAGTGGGGGCTAACATAAGGTTCCTGGATCAGAGCGAAGGTGTATCCAGAATTCCTTATCCTAACCCCACACTCTATTGTTGCGTCGCTGCATCTCCCACAATTCGCTTGGATGAAGCTAAACATGATTAATGTCTAGCTTGCACCCTCGCTATCACCGCTGCATATATCGGACATGCCTCCGAGAGCGTGCGATGCCCCGAAGGATGCCCTTTCATGCGGCAGTTGCGACAGTCCGCCGGCTTGTTGCATTTGGCCGCAATGTGGCCGGTCTCCCCACATTGTCGACACGCCGTGGTAGCGTTACACTCCGCCACCTTGTGGTTAAATGACATGCATCTGTGGCATGCATACGTTCGCACCAGCTTCCTGCATCTGAAGGAATGGCAGCTCACGAAGATTCTGCCGGCTTTCTCCAGGATGGTTGCTGCTGCCTCATCCACGTCGAGCGTCAGATTGATCCTGCCACCGTCCGTGACAGACCACCTCTTGGTCTCGTGCCTGGCATCACCTCCTTCTTCATGATCTGCACCACCTGCTCGCTCGTGACCGTCGGGTCTTGACTGGCCAGCACTGCTGAGTATGTTTCAGCAGGCTTCTTGGGGCGCGGCAGGGCTGTGGACACAGCCTTGGTGGCAGCAGTGGACGTCTTTGGCACCGTTGGCACCGTTGGCAGCGTGGTGGGGGGCACCGCTTGCGAGCCCTTGGTGGCTCCGACTCTACACTCCAGCTGGCTCACTCGCAGCATGAGAGCCGTGATCAGGTCTTCATATTTGGCGGTCGCATCCGCAACGGCCTTCGACTGCGCTGGCTTCATCTGCGCCTCCAGTAGGGCATCCCTTGCCATTTTCTTAATGGCTGACAACTCTGCCATAACGGCAGAGGTGCCACTAGCCACGATACTCACTGCTGAGCATCGTGGTACAGCGGGAGCAGCAGGGGGGACGTCAGCGCTCGCAGCAGCGGCTGCATACGTCGCAGCAGCGCATGGCGGCAGAATGGCTCCGGCAGCGGGCAGCGCCCTCTCTGCGACTGCGGCATACGACCTCGCGACGGTGGTCGGTGCCAGCGGCTT